TATTGCCCCTTAATGAGCTCCAAAACCCTATGGGGTCCTCGACACAATCCAACCCCAGGGCTCCGCCTCAACCCTAAACCCTAAACCCTACACCCTAAACCCTACACCCTACACCCTATAAACCCTAAACCCTAAACCCTAAACCCTAAACCCTACACCCTATAAACCCTAAACCCTAAACCCTAAACCCAAAACAGTAAGTCCTAGACCCAAAGCCTGATGTGATCTTGCCAGCCCACGGTTTAGGGTTTAGGGTTTAGGGTACACCCTGACGAAGCCTAATGTAGCTTTGAGGCCTTGCCCAGGGGCACAGTAAATCCCATGCACCTTAAACACAAAATCAAGGGTTTAGGATTAGGATCCAGCGTTTAGGGTGCAAAAATCCAGGGTTTAGGGTTAGGATCCAGCGTTTAGGGTGCAGGATTCTGGGTTTCAGTCCTACGGAGACCCCAACCAACTTGTTTTGTGCCCTGACTGTCGTTTAGTAAAGGGTAGCGGGGTCTGCAGAGTGTACCTTGGGTTATTGATCCACGCCCCTAAATCTTAAATTAAACCAGTAACAACGATCCCTGAGCCAGATTTGTTTAACAAAATACCCTAAACCCTAAAACCCAAGCCGAAATTTAAACCCCAAGCCCAAAGCCCTATGGAATCCCTAAAGCCCCAAACCTTAAGCTTAAACTGCGACCCTAAACCCTAAACCCTAAACCGAGCAGGCTGAAAAGAACAAGAGCAAGAACAAGGCTAAGTCGAAGTACGCGATTCTCCAAGGAGCTACGGAGGGAAAGAGTCCCTCTGCTCTCTTGTTTAGGGCTTCTTACAGGGTTTAGGGTTTAGGGTATATGGTTTAGGTTTATGGTTTGGCGTTACCGCGGCGTTTTCAAGGTTCGGAGTCGTTTAGGGTGTTTAAGGGGCTGACGTTGTTGTTTCGGATAGACTTTGAAGGATTTCCAGTGTTCGAGCGTTTAGACCCGAAGCCCTACAGTGAAACAACTCTTACCGTTTTGGGTTAGGGTGTAGGGATTAGGGTTTAGGGTTTCTTTTGGTTACCTATAGACTAGCAATGATACTAACAATGGTCTAGGGCTTTAGGGTTTAGGGTTTGGGGTTTAGGGCTTTTGGTTACCTATACAATACGGTTTAGGGTTTAGGGTTTAGGGTTTAGGGTTGAGGGTTTAGGGTTGAGGGTTGAGGGTGTACGGTTTAGCGATTAGGGACTAGTGATTCAAATAAATGATGATAATAGTGTTAATCGTCCCCGGTTGGTGGCTGCCGACTTTGGTGGGGTGTGGGGTGGGAGTGGGGGGAGGGCGGAATTGGGGTGTGGGTGTAGGGTGTAGGGTTTTAGGGTTTAGGGTGTAGGGTTTAGGGTTTAGGGTTTAGGGTTTAGGGTTTAGGGTCTGTGTAGGGCCCTTTTTTAGTATGGCTCCTGGCTTGGTAGGTGGAGAGGGCAGGAGCTGAGCTGAGCTTAGTGTAGTCACGATCGAAACCCCCATAAATCCCGTAAAACCCGACGATAAAACCCTACTACAAACCCCTCAAAGTCCTTACAAACCTAGAAAGCCCGGTGTTAGCCCACCTTGGAAATCCTGGAACCCTTGCAACTGCACTTGGGGTTTAGGCTTTAGGGTGTGGGGTTTAGGGTTTAAGTTTCTTCCTTTGAAGTGGGGTGTACGTAGGGTTCTGCATTCCCTGAAAGGCCCCTCGAACAGTCGACTTGGATCTTTTACCCTGTTGGGGGTTTAGGATTTAAGCGCCTGAACCCTAAACCAGAACAACTCTCTTAACCCTGAACCCTAAACCCTAAACCCTAAACCCCTGAACCCTAAACCCTAAACCCCTAAAACCTTAAACCCTAAACCAGGAGAAAAAAAAGGAACTGAAGAGCCGCAGAGGCACGGGCACCAGCTGCCCAAACGCTCTGAGCTCCTGCTGCAGTCGTTGCGAGTTTTGGCTGGAAACAGGCTCGGAAACTCGGCTTCTCAAACCCTATACCCTAAACCCAAACCCTATACCCTAAACCCTTTACCCTGTACCCTAAACCCCGTACCCTAAAGCCTAAACCCTATACCCTAAACCCTACACCCCAAACCCTACACCCTAACCCTAAACCCTGCACCCTAAACCCTAGAACTTTTAAGGCTTGCAGGGTTTCGGGCTCCGGTTCCCGAAGTCACTTCCGTGCAGGGGACCAGTTCTCAGGACATGCAGCTTGGGTTTCGGCTCGGGGTCTCGCAGCCGGCGTGTCCCCGGTTTAGGGTCTGGGGTTTAGGGTTTAGGGTTTAGGGTCTAGGGTTTAGGGTTTAGGGTTTAGGGTTTAGGGTTTAGGGTCTAGGGTTTAGGGTTTAGGGTTTGGGGCCTGTCCCGGTGCATGCAAGCAAGGAAGGCTTGCCCTCTCAGTCGCTATTCGTCCTTCTTGCACTCTTGCGACTGCTGCTGTAGTGCCACCGCAGCTGATACTGAGAATGGGAGCCCCTACCTCCTCCTGCCACTACAACTACGACGACTACAACAACTAAGCACAACACGGCCCGATGACAATACAAACAGTGGAAACCACAGTGATAGAGATGATATACTCATAATCATAACCATAATCATAGTAGTGATAATCATAATCATCTCAATAAAAACACTACTAATAATAATAACTATCATCATCATAATCATAACCCCTAATAATCAAACTCATAAGCCCTCGTCTAACCCGTCCTTCCCTGCGCCGCCAACTCGCGCTCCGCCGCCAGCAGGGGGCCGCTGAGGGCAAAGAGTCCCACGACACGCATGCCTTGGGCTTAGGGCTTAGGGTTTTGAATTTAGGGTTTAGGGTTTAGAATTTAGGGCTTAGGGCTTGGGGCCTAGGTTCAGGGTTTCACACGGGGTCCATAGCAAGGCTTTATGTTGGTTTTCATATGTTTTCTTAGTGCGGATGTTGTCGGATTTTGTGAAAGGAAGGCTTCATTAGGGTCGTTCTGAGGGCTTCTGTACGGTTTTTGAATAGGAAATTGCATTCGGGGTCTATAAGGACGCTCATTTACATTAGGTTTGATAGTGGCTTTATAAGGGCAGTGTAATGGCAGGATCATGAACAAGGGCGCTCCACAGAGGTTAAAGGTATAGGGGTTTGGGAATTTGGTTTGCAAACCAGGGTTTGAGGCTTGCGGGCGTGATGGTTTAGGGTTTGGGGACTCAGGTTTTCGAATACGGGGTTCAGGGTTAAGTCTCCTGATTGAGGGTTCCTTCTTAAGCGGGTTTACGAGGCCTCGCAAGGCATGCTAGTGGTTCATACAGTTTGTTGTTGCTACTACACCTTTTGAGACCCTGAACCGCGCTCACATTGAATCATTGAAACCTCGAACTTGAGACTTGAGACCAAGGCCCAGGTCTTGCACTTTTCAACCCGGAGACCTAGCCCTCCACCCCAAAAGCCTTTAACTACCAAGAGTTTCACCCTAGACTTGAAAACCGCCAGCCCGGCAAGCTAGAGCTCCAAACTGGGCCAGAGGTGCTGCCGCCTATGAAGAGCACCTGCTTCTCGGACACCTGCGCAAGCAACGATGCTGGTGGCCGGATTGGTGATGGACCCTACACCGTAAACCCTAAAAGAGGGTTTCGGGTTGAGGGCGCTGGGGCCCAACTGACTCTGTATGAAAGCATCATCTCAAGTTACTGCAACATTTACTCCTTTTAGGGAACCCTACTGTTCTTTACGGGTTTAGGGTTTAAGGCCCCTTTGCCACGCTGTTCAGCAACCCAGTGGGAAACAGCATATACCTTTCTAAGAGATAGTTGTATTACGCTAGGAACCAATACTAAAAAGGAAAGAAAGGATACCACTGAAACCCTAAACCCTGAATCCCTAAACCCCTAACCCCTAACCCCTAAACCCTAACCCCTAAACCCTAAACCCGAAACCCGAAACCCTAAACCCTAAACCCTGAACCGCACCGCACCCGCGGCCTCCTTCGCAGAGAGGAGGCGCCGCACCTTGAACATGATTCCCATTGAGTTGGCGTCGGCCCCAAGAGACCTGGGCTTAGGGCTTAAAGCTTAGGGATTAGGGCTTAGGGCTTAGGGTTTAGGGTTTAGGGTTTAGGGTTTAGGGCTTAGGGTTTAGGGTTTAGGGTTTTGGGGTTTATATATAGGGTTGAGGCGTAAACCCCTAAACCCTAAACCCTCAACCCTAAACTTTAAGGACCCTCACAACAAGAGCCCAGGGGCAGAGAAGCCATGGCTGCGCCGAAGTCCAAGGTGCCGGCGGTCGCGGCGGGCCATTGGACCACGGATCCTTAAAGGCTACGATAGGGTCTAGGGTTTAGGGTTTAGGGCTTAGGGAGTTTAGGGTTTAGGGCTTGGGGAGTTTAGGGTTTAGGGTTAGGGAGTTTTAGGGAGTTTAGGGT